GGTCGTCTCTCTCGGAGGGCTTCTTTCACTCCAAGACGGTCGTCCACAAGAGGTCATCTACAGCACGTGTTTTCGTCACCGACCTGTGAGCACTGGGTTAAACCTATCCTGCCAGAGGTTCGGTTTGGTTGAACCTGAACTTCGCAAATGTGGCTCAGATTAATCCGAGACGGGGACCGGCGGATGGACCCCACGGTCTGTTGACGCTCATCCAGCCATCCAAGCTTCCGTTATTCCCCAACTCTCGTCGGGTCCAACCGAATTTCGCACGGTGTGTCTTCGTCCTTGAGTGTTTAAGACGTCTGTGGCTCGAATTTATCCGATTTCGACAGCGGTTGTCCCAATACGTGCGACCGCGACAGGTTGAGCCGACACCGTCTGCTTTCGACGTACAAGTTTATCAGACCGTGCGACGTCGTCAATACCCTCTGCGCATGTGGTAAATCCGAAAATGCCACCGGTGTGGTTCGGATTAATCCGACTTCGCCGAGGCGCTTTGCTTTGTTGTCGCCCCACCACACACTGGACCTCCCTGCGATTGTCGTAGTGTGTCATTATAATCTGTGCGTCATCACGGGGGATATCGTCGTCGTTGTGAGTCTTAGTTGGTTGTTGCTTGCCCGATCCAAACAACAGACACGTTTGCTGTAGTCGCAGCACAAGTTTCGAGCTCGTTTTTCTTCCACCGAGCGTAACCATCTCGACTTATTTTAGTTGTGTGAATCCAAGGCATCGTTGACCCTCATCATCAGACTGCCCTTCGTAGAGCAAATGGTCAAAGACGAAGACAACGTGGTAGTTCGGACACATCCGAATTGGGCAGAGTTGAAAGACCGACGTTGTGACTCGGATGCATCCGAATTAGGCCGACCACAAGAGAAGGACATTGGCACGGCGTGTTTTTCTCAATGACCTGTGAGCAGAGGGTGGACCGTATCCTGTCGGAGGTGTGGTTCAGATTAATCCGAGATGGAACGGTCTTTTGACAGCGTGCGATTTCGTCGTTCATGTTTATCGGAACGTGCGGCGTCGTAAATACCGTCTTAGCATGTGACAAATCCAAATTTGTCGTCAGTGTGGTTCGGATTAATCCGAACTTCGTCGACGTGCCTCAGTTAGTGGTCGCCCTGTGAGTTTTAGTGGGTTGTGGCTCGGAGCAACCGAAATTAACAAGGGTGGCTCGGATACGTCGGTTGTTGCGCCACCACAAGATGGTATGGACAGGGTGGGCTGTCGTCCTCCTGGTTGGTCAAACATGTCGCCGTCCACAATACCCTATGAGCATCTGATCGCTCTGTGTCCTGTCCTGTGTCCAAGTCAGCGGAAGGGTTCCTCGCGGCGTTCGGCTGACGCGAGATTTGATAGTGTTTAAAGATTTGAATTCACGTTCGCCTCCTATGTCTTCGAATATGTCGTAGCAGTCTTCGGATTACTGATCTGTGATTGCACTCAGGGGGGGACCAACCTGAGATCAGTTGAGCGACTGTCTGCGATACACAAAGATTGGAGAAAGGCAGAAACCCCGCATAGACACGGAAGGGAGACTAAGATCGATAGAGACGTCGACAAGGAGAGGATGCGCAGTGAGAGATTCTGTCTTTAGCTCTCTGTCTCTCCATGTGCAGATCCTGCGGATGGTGTTGTCCATTCCGGAATTCGCAATGTGACCCGTTTATAAAATGGCACAAAAGAAATATAAGAAAAAAATGTTCGCGTTGGCGAGCGGAAGATTGGCGAAAAATGTGAAAAATTCGACGAATGTGGAGGACATTTTACGGATATAGAACCGAACGCCGAGCGAACTGCACGACGCGACTTACGCGGGAAACGAATAAACAAACTGAGCGCAATAAAAATTAATTCGGCGTGAAGAAAGTTCATGTGCAATCCAAAAGAGACACGATTCCGGAGAAACAATGTTCTCGTGTTCGACATCATACGACTGAAATCCTTATATCGCAGTTCGTGAGAGAGACAACATATTGACGACAAGCGAGTAACACTTCAAGAAAACATCTGAAGTGACGACACAATCTCGAAGGGCGTGTCGCAACATTCTCGGGCTGCATTCGCGGGTCCCGTTTCGTTGGTGACCACTCGCCTTGATCAGATGGCACACTCACATGTCCACGTGACAGCCCCTGAACATGCGTGGCGGCGATCAGATAGAGCCCCGCATCCATCAGCGTGGCCACGCTTGTTCAGGACATGACACGTGGACGTCTGAGTGTGCCATCTGATCTGTGGGAGTGATCGCCGATGAAACGCATGCATTCTTGCTCCCGAAACTCCTTCATCTCGCCCCGATCAGATGGCACACTCACACGTCCGCATGTCATGTCCTGAACATGCGTGGCCCTGCTAATGGGTGAGGGGCTATATTGGAGCCTCGCATCCATTCTGCTGCCGCATAGAGCCCAGTTGTCGCATAGAGCCCCGCATCCATCAGCGTAGCCACGCTTATTAAGGACGTGACACGTGGACGTCTGAGGGTGTCATCTGATCGGTGCGAGTGATCGCCAATGAAACGCATGCATTCTTGCTCCCGAAACTCCTTCATCTCACCCCGATCAGATGGCAATCTCACACGTCTGCTTGTCATGTCATGAACATGCGTGGCCACGCTGATGGGTGCGGGGCTATATTGGAGCCTGGCATGCATTCTGCTGCCGCATAGAGCCTCGCGTCCATCAGCGTGCACACGCTTGTTCAGGAACTGACACGTGGACGTTTGACTGTGCCATCTGATCGGGAGGAGTGGTCGCCAATGGAACGAGATCCGCAAACGCACCCCGAGGTAAGTTCGCGAAAGAAACAGGCCAACGCATAAGACGAATGAAATAGAGGCGCTGAAGAGAAACTAACGACGGGGACGAAGATGGTAGTTGAACACGACGGCACACACGTCCACATGTCAAGTCCTGATCATGCGTGACCACGCTGATGGGTGCGGGGCTCTATTCGACAACATTCTGTTGCCGCATAGAGCCCCACATCCATCAGCGAGCCCACGCTTGTTCAGGACCTGCCACGTGGACGTGTGAGTGTGCCATCTCATCGGGGCGAGTGGTCGCCAATGGAACTAGATTCACAACATAGAGGCACTGATAGAGAACTGACGACGATGGTGGTTGAACACGACGCTGTTGGTTCTGTCTCGTTCGTTTGTCTGCGCTTGTTAGTTACATTCGCTAACTTTGTGCGAACGACACAGACAAGCGCGGTGAAACGAACAAGATAAAAGACAGAAAGAGAGGTAAAGAGCTAGTGAGAGAGAGAGAGCGCGACATAGAGGCGATCTCCGCCTTCATCACACGTCCCAATCAAACGTCACGATCAAATGGCCCCGAACGTCATAGACTCCCTTTCACACATCGGACTCACGGACATAAATCCCGGTTGGATCACACGACACTGCTCCTTCGCGGCGACTGAACCCAATATAATCGCCACCGCGAAATCCCGACTACAGATCGCGTACATGTGTGGGCATTCTGACGGTCTACGCAAACCCCGCATGGCAGGACTTTTCAGGTCGGTGGAGATAGCGAGAGAAAGAGAGACAGAGAGAGAGAGCGAGAGAGGGAGAGAGACAGAGAAAGAGAGAGAGAGAG